CACATAACTTCATAACTATACATCCAGAATTGCATAACTATACATCCATAACTTTATAACTATAAATCCAGAATTGCATAACTGCACATCCATAACTTCATAACTACACATCTATAACTTCATAACTATACATCCAGAATTGCATAACTATACACCCATAACTATAAAATCTAGAATTGCATAACTACACCATGCATAATTACACATCCATAACTTCATAACTATAAATCCAGAATTGCATAACTACATATACATAATTTCATAACTAAAAATCCAGAATGAATGAACTAAAAAAATAAACAACATAATGTTCTTGCTGAAAACTAAAACTGATTTTTTTAAAGGGGGCGCGCATTTTTAATCAAAACGACGTCGTTTTTGCATCAGTATGCACTATGGTGCATACTGATGCACGGCATAATTTGCCCGATAAGTAGTCTGACTTGGTCTATATCTTTTTTAAAAAGTCTATTTAATATGTAAACAATTAAAATGTTTTAAGGTTTACCTGTTGCAGTCTTTTAAGGACTACTTTAAACCTTTGTAAAGACCTGCATATTTGTTAATAAAAAACCTAATAGTATATCGTGGACCAGGTTATAAATATATTGGAGATGTGAAGTATTGGTTTGGCCCTAAACGTATAAAAATAACACTGTGAACCTACTATAAAGAAAATTAAAATTGATATGATGTATTTGCATTTTAATGTTTATATATTAAAATTTAGATTTATAATTAATTAATTATATAAAACAAATATTATGAATATAGTAATGATGAATGATATTAAATATTATACACATATAATGTACTTTTATATACATTATTTGTTTTTATAAACATATAAAATAAATATTACGACTTTACTATAAAATGAATGTAAATAGATGTGATGTACATATAATTTAGTGTTTGTGCACATTAATGTTTAGATTTATGATTATATAGAATAAATATTATGAACATAGTATATGATGAATGTTATGTACATTTAGTTTTGCTTTTATGAATATATAGAAATAACATTAGAAACTTATTATGAAGTGTACATATGATATAATTTAATTTTACTGTTATATACATTAAGATTTAGATTTATGATGATATAAAATTAATATTATAAACAACATAGTAAGTGATAATGTAATTAAATATGAAGAACATGGTCCCGTTATATCGTTGTATGGTGGACGACCATGGTAGACACAAGTGTGTGGACCATGATCTAATATGATGTTGTTTCTTTTAATTAAAAGAAATGGTTGTACCAAGTGGCTTGCGGTCCATTGGTATTCGGTTTGGCCCCTTATGTGGGACGTTTAGTATTCGAGCCTCAATGTAGGTGAATATTGTGTATATGTGGGTGTCTCCCTTCCTGAACATGAACTTATAGTAGAATTAAAATGATACTTTAGTGCAGTAGCGGAGCCACAATGGAGGACAGTTTAATACTTTAGTGCAGTAGCGGAGCCACAATGGGGGCAGCTGCCCCCACTCCTTATATATTAAATATACCAAAACTTTATGAAATGTTAATTTGGTTTAGATGGTAAGGTCACTACTTTTATGTAATATGTAATGGTTCACGGTTCGAACTCTTACAACACTTAATTTTTGTTTTCGAATTTTTATATGCCAATATTGAGAATTCTAATTGGATTTTATATTTGTAAGATTGTGGCTTATTTATTTATTTATTTATTTTTAAATATTATAGTAAGATGGGTGAACTTTTATTTTTGACATTTTTAAATATTAATAGTGAGAATTCTAATTAGATTATATTTTTTTATTTGTAATATTGTGACTTCTTCTCTTTTTTATTTTTATTTGTTTTTTTGTTTAATATTAATAGTGATATCAGTGATTTATAAATTATAATGTGTTTTACATTTAAACTATTTTATCTAATTAATTATGTTTTAAATTTTTTTTATCTTGATGTATTTTGATTTTTCATCTCTAATCAACAATATTTATGACTCGATTTCTAAGTGTTTTATTTTTTAAAAAAAAAACTCGTTAGTTTTAATTTTTCGCCCCTAGGAGAAGATTTCTAAATCCTCCCCTACTTCAGTGTTGCTATAATGAACATATATTGTGTGTATAAAATGAAACTAGACACCAGAGACATTAAGTGTAATTAAATTGATATTTCAACGTTACTATAATGAAGCTAAAAACAAATTATGATATGCAACCGTGTAGACCATGCTATTTTATGTTCATAATTACTGAACTATATGTTCATAATTATAAAGTTATATATTTATAATTTTTTAACTTCATATTAATAAGTATTGAACTCTATATTCATAATTACAGAACTCTATGTTCATATTCCCAATTGTTGAACTCTGTATTCACAAATCACATAACTATATGTTCATAATTTAATAACTATACAGTTTAGAAATTATAAATCTACACTACAAATATTATGAATCTGTAGTATAGAAATTATGAATCTACTGTATAGAAATTATGAATCTATTGTATTTAAATTATGAATGTACGGTTTAGAAATTATGAATCTACAGTATTGATTTTATGAATCTACAATATAGAAATTATGAATATATAGTATAGAAATTATGAATCTATAGTATAGAAATTATAAATTAGAATCGTATGCACCTTGCATGGTGCACACGGTTGCACATCATCATGTTTCCCAAAATGGTACCGTTTCTTTTAATGAAAAGAAACATCAACCGTTACATTTTGCAGTTATATTGTAATGAAACTATATTGGGTATAAAATGAAACTAAATATCAAATTTTATATATTGAGTGTATATTGTTAAATAAATTTGTATTTGAATTAAAATGATACTCTAGTGTTAGAATAATGAAAGAGAAAATTTCAATTTTGGTCATATGACTATAGGGATTTTCTTAATTTCATAACCTAACTTTGAAAACTATCAATTTAGTACCTTGAGTATGTAATTTTTGTCAATTTTTGTCACTCCGGTCAAATTGTCGGCCAAATTTCACCGGAAAATTTTAATAGTTGAAATAATGAGGGTATTTTAATCATTTCACATCTCTTTTATTCTTCTCCGACGAGTTTATCATGTTTCAGTTGTTTCCACCGAGTTCTCCTGGTTTCGAAAGTACAGGCGAAGCAGCTCAAGGCCACTTTTAAAAGCAAAACAAATCTAAACGCCACTTTTGCGAGCTTAACGGAATCAATGACCAAAGCATTTTGATTGGTAGTCTCCTTACACTGGGCACCATCGACGTTGGGGGAACCATCGTGGAGGACCAAATCGAAGGTTCTGCAGCCATTCTAGCATTTTCTTCCGGCCAATGGAGGTGTCGGCGAACGTGGAGAGTGCGAGTTCGCCGACCAGGCAACCGAAGAAGTACGAGATGGCCGGCAGGTCGGTGATATTAGCCTCGGCGCACTCCAAGGACCACGGAGGTGTTCGACGGACTCCGTGCGGTCGGCCAATGCTATTCCACTCATCGGAGAAGAAAGAGATGTTGTCATCACCGTGGCCCACGTCCTCACCGCGGTCTTGTTAATCCCTCTCTTTGGTCGAGAAGAAAGGAAAAATGGTAAAAATGATTAAAATACTCTTATTATTTTACCTATTAAAATTTTTCGGCGAAATTTAAAAGGCAATTTAACCGGAGTGATCAAAATTGACAAAAATTACATACTTAAGGTACTAAATTGACACTTTTGAAAGTTAAGCGCTGAAATTAACAAAGCCCCTATAGTTATAGGACCGAAATTGAAATTTTCTCAATAATGAAATTACAATGTGTGTATAAAATAAAATTGAATAACAGATTGAATGTATATTGTTAAATAAAATAATACAAACTAGTAGAATAATAATGATACCCGTAATAAAACTATGAAGAACAAATTTCACATATTGATAGTGTATTGTGTTCTGATTTTTTATTTTTTGCTCACTTCTCCTTTCTTCTCTTCTCTGAACTTATTGGCTCTGTTTGGCAAACCTAGCTCAAAAGCTATAAGCTAGGAGCTGATAGCTGAAAAGGAGCTGAAAGCTGAAAAGTTATAAGCTCCTCGGAGCTAAAAATTGAATAGCTGTCAAGCTAGCTGTTATGATTGAAAGTGTTTGGTAAAATTAGCTTTTTGATAAGCTGATAAATGTAAAAAGACTAAAAAGGACATCTTCATAAAATTTAAATTAGTTTGTTTACATATTAAAATTTAACATTTCGTCCTCCAAAAAAAGTAAACACTTTTTAAAATAAAACTATTAGCACGATCATGATCTACAATCCCATAATGAAGTAACAATATTGTTGCGAATCTCCTTCATCTTCATAGAGGTGTGACTTAAATTTTCGTTGATGGAGATATTACTACTTGAATCTTGAAGTTCATCGGGCGGTATGTAATCTGGATGCTGCTCAAGCACATTAAACATCATGTCATCTTGTGAATTCTTCCGAATATAATTATGTATTGCAAATGTGACCATAATAACATCAATTTGGGTCTCCTCACTAAACTGCGATATTATAGCAAGTATCTTCCATCTCTTATTCAATACTCCAAACAACTTCTCAATACAACTTCTTGAGCATTAGTTGGCGGCTCTTGTTCAATTTGAGATTGAAGCCATATTGCTAATTTTTAAAATAATAATAATAATAATAATAATAATAATAATAAGCTAAAGTTTTAACATAATTGTTTAGCAGGAAACAAGACTAAAGATGGAATTGATGTGAAAGTTGGGATAGGGGAAGAGAAAGGGTTTTAATTCATAAGGTTAAAATATGTCATTACTTTAAAATAATAAGGGTAAAGATGGAAAAAAAGTTAGGAAGCTAGTAGCTTATTTTGAAACGCTACTTAAAGTAGCGTTCCAAAATAAGCTCTTATTTTAAGCTAGGAGCTTATTTTGGGAACATTACCAAACAGAGCTTATAGCTTATTAGTAGCTTAAAATAAGCTATAAGCTCCTAGCTTAGCGTTGCCAAACAGAGCCATTACAAGAAGTACATAGTTTGTAGTCGAGGCCTTATCAGTTATAGAGAAGGCTATACGGTTGAGCAGGCAAGCGGCGTAGGCGTGTCGCCGAGGCAATAAGCCTTACGGGGGCCAAAACTGTCATTTCACTTGCTCCATGAATTTAAAATTTTCCTAAACCCCAGCCAGCCACCACACCGGAAACTTCAGTTACATCTCGCTCGCTAATTCTCCTCCGGCGCCTTTCCGATGAGTTCTCAATCAAGGTACTGTTTCGATTACCTGAAACGAATGGTGGAATTGTTATTCTACTGCTCCGTATTTGTTTTTCTGTGCCTAAATTTATATCAACTTTTGATTTTGACCTCTTGTACTTGTATTTGTGGTTCAAAACTGAGAAGGTTACTCAACGGGAGCTTTTGTGTGTAAATGGTAATTAATATCCTAATTTGAAGAAAAATGTCAAGAAGAGATGCCAGTGAGTGCGTAAGCATAGAAATCTTGGCCTAGGACTTCATGTTTCGGTGAAACTTGAGTCTCCTCTGAGGAGGAGATGCATTTAAAATTTAAATTCCCTCCCCAGTCCCCTGGCCTTCAGTACACTGCACATAGACTTCCACTGGATGAATGCATTTTTTTCCTTAGGTGGATTACAAATATTCCTTCCCATTGGAACACTTTTGGGTGTATATGTAGTTCTCTAATGTTAATTTATCCCGTCAGCTCATCTTTTGTCCACAATTGTAGGGAAATTTTCTTGAAACACTCGTTTACTCAACAAGCTGAATGCACAAATCTAACCATTGCATTGAACTTAGGTTGTGCTACTTGTTTTAACATTGATTTTGCTTGATTAGTTTTGAGGTATTTTAAGACTTAAGTTGCTGTCGTTGGCAATGCTTGGTAATTGTGCCTTGCTAACAAGAGATGTTAAAGTGATCCCAGTTCACCTCGAGAAATCCTATTAACATAATACTAGAGTAGTTTAGAGAATGTTTTGATCTTGTACATGTACAGTGGCTGTCTTGTTGGTGGGACAAGTATAGATTACATTGGGCCCTTGTCTTGTGTTTGTCCCATAGAGTAATAGAGATGGTATTTAACTTGGCACCTGATAGGAGCCTCTTTTTGGATGTCTATTTGCATAGGTGCATGCCTGTGAGGCTGTGATGTTTTCTTTAAATGGCCTTTAGAATGACTCTTGGCTATAAACCCGCTTTGTCAAAGACCTAATATCTTGAATGATTTAAGAACCCTGAATTGTAGTTGTGATTGGCTGATTGCTATTAGGTCAAATGGGATGATGATGATATGCTAGCTCAGAATTTGATTCTAGACTAGGAATTATTTGGAAGACTACCCTTCTATATTTGCTCCATGAGCAGGGCTTTTTGTGCATGAAAAGTCACTTTTGCATAAACATAGCGTAAGATGTGGCTATGGTTTTGAGCTGAAAGGCAGCATGCTGTCTAGTCAGCTTGATAGTTGTTATTTCAACATTATAATGCCCTTCATAACTTGTTATAAATATATGTCTTTAGTTTACTGGATTCTACAGATTCGCATTTTGCCTGTATGGTCTTCATTTCAAATCTAATATGTCATTTGTGTTCAACACAAGTATCTAATTCCTGAGACTTGAATCATATTTATCTAAATTTTGCCTCTTGTGGCTTCTTAAGGGTGATAGCTCCCTATTTATTTTGTAATCATGTAAGGAAGTGATTGGGGTTTTAACATTTTTTTAAAATAATAATAAGAAGAAAAAAAAACCTTTAGTCACCTTTAAAAGTTTCCTCCAAAATCCAAATATTATTGACTTATTGTACTACTTACTCTTCTTAGTAATGTTTTTACCTGATAAGGTTTTGTTCACCATTTACCCATTTGGAAAAGCTTCCTTCATTTTAGGATTGCATCATTGCATTTAAATTGTTTTCCTAGGCAAGATTTTTTTCTTATCTTCCATTCATTCCATTTATGTAATTGTGAGTGTGCTTCAGTGCAAGTGTGTGTTAGAGAGAGACCAAGAAGAAAGATGGTTCATTAGTTGTCACTTAGAGAGAGACCAAGATGGTTCATTAGAGAGAGACCAAGAAGAAAGATGGTTCATTAGGTCACCAATCACCAATGTAATCCACAAATCCTTCATGCTAAAGTCATTCAACCAAAGTAGAAGGTGCAAGAACAGCAATAAGTAAATCATATTTGTTATATCCTTCTATAAATTCTTAGATAATGAATGCTTTCTGCTACTTAATTTTTTTTTCTTTTCTTTATGTCATTTAGTTATTTTTCCTCATTGACTTATTTTCCTTATTTAGTGGCCAAGTTCTCATTTATAGAGTGTTAGGTCATGGATTTGGCCTTGTAAACAACTTCTCTACAAACCAGAAGCTTTCAAGTATCTTTCTTTCCTAAATCCTGAATGATGTGCAATCCTTCTAACTGGGGCCAAAACTTTATAAATTATACTTGAAATGAAGGATTGGAGATTTATATTATGTGAATTTAGGGTTTAGGGTTTAGGGTGGATGATCTTTGGATCTCAAAAGTACCTTATTTTGTAAGTTTTTTTATTATTTGTTTTAAGTGAATGACGTGCTTTGTGTGGCTTGCACATTAAGCATAAAATTTCAAATTTGTCCACTCTTGGATTTTCTTTTATGTGATAGGCTTTAACTCTTTAAGCTTTAGGATTTGTAAATACCCTAATGACTGGATAGAAAATAGGAAATTTGTTCCCCTTTTATATGTTATTGTATTCCCCCACCTAAAAAATAAAAAGGAAACAAGAAAGAAATGAAGAGGTCGGTGCAGTAGCAACAACAGTGAACAAACCTTGACGCCTTTGGTTTGGTAGCTAATTACCACCACTTATATAGTTATTATTATATGATGATCAAATTTGAATTACTAGTTGATCCAAGTAAAGATCACCCTAATCTTGGTAACTTCTAACCTGGTTCATTTGATTTTGTCTGGTTGTTGATTATGATGTTGACTTAATTACATGAAGATAACTCAGATTCCAGGTGATTGTGATTCTTTTTTGTGACAGTCAATGATGTTTTCACTGACAAACGTTGTAGCAAATCCTCTATTCATTTTTTGTTCCTGTTCTAGTGTTCTTCTCTCCATGGTGTGGGAGCCTTGGGGGGGGGGGGGGGGGGGGGTAATAGAATGGATATTATTGGTATAATTTATTTTCTAAAATGTTTCAAGTATCTCCACTCCCCAAATCCTGTCTTTATGTTGGGGAGAAGGTATAGAAGATTTAACCAAACTGAACAAAGAATGGTGAATATCAAAGATTAAAAGACAATCAATATTGTTTTATGGGTTGTCTTGGGAGGATGTCAGCCATATCTGCATTCTAGTAAATACTATACAAGTCAGTGTAGTATTTTTATGCCTATGGAAGTATAAATCTTCTCATACTTATTTCCATGTGGCTTTGGTGTTTTTCCTAAGGGAATGTTCTAGCTACATACTACTTTTAATTAATTGTTAGGTTTATCTTTCTTTCTTTTTATAGAAGCCTTATTTGTTGAACAGCTGTTAGGAAGAATTGCTTTAACATTGAACATTCGGGAATTGCAGGATTGTTGTGGCAAAACTTTTGTTCTTTCCAATCTATAATGTGTGCTTCTTTTCCAGATCTGGTGTGATCCTATTGCTACATGTATCCATCCATGTACATAATGTACATGTATCAATCTATAATGTGTGCATTGCTTCTATTAAGCATGTTAAACGTTGATTTTTGTCTAAAAAAGTAATTTTCCAAATTGGATTAAATATGCTGTCTTTCTGATTGTCTAATTTCATGGCTACTCTAGGGGACACAATGGTGAAAATAATGGTATGCATCCAATGGATCCTGGACAACCAGTCATTGATGTAGCCCCTCTCCGTTGTGTGCCATACACTGGTCCTCTTCCAACATCCAACCGTGATGCTTCTCTATCTGGACCTAACGCAGCTTCATTCTCAATGGAAAATGCTCAATCTTCTACAAACGCCAGCCCTCAGCCTGCAATGGTTTATTATACTATTACAACTCTTGAAGAGAGGGCCAGTCTCTTTGCTGCCACCTGTGGTCAATCCAAAGTAGGAAGTTTGCTTACTGGAACTGCTGTAATGGGGAAAGTGGGACCTCCTATAGGAGCGGTAGATATTTTGGAGTCTGATACCGAATACTTTTTTCGTGTCTCACTTCCTGGTGTTGCAAAAGATGCAGGTATGTTTCCTATTTGCCACTGTCTGTGGAACTTTAGAGTTGATTCTCTGTTCTCTAAAGTTCAGTATGTTTGGAAGCTCAGTTTTAATGAAATTTTGTTCAAGCCAAGCCGTCGAAAGAATATTTGGTTATATTCTGAAGTTATACTAAATCATCACAGGCTAATGCAGATTCTTTAATCAACAGAGACCTAATGTATTTTTCAGTAGTCAGTACCATCTTACCATTTATGAATTTTGTTTTACGGTTCATATGCTAGATGCATTGGGTGATTTATCTTAGTTGGTGCTTATATGGTGACAGAAAACTTTCGCTGTAACATTGAACCTAGCGGGAAGGTAGATATAAAGGGTATAACATTGACTGGAGTGCGAGCAGTTTACAAAAATAACATGGTATTCAAGATGAACACACCGAATCTGTGCCCACCAGGAAAGTTCACCATTTCATTTCAGCTTCCTGGCCCAACTGCAAATCAATTTTTAACCACATTTGGATCTGATGGAATTTTTGAAGCATCTGTGAAGAAAGGACAGCCAAACAATTCTTGATTTGCAGTGGAGCCGAGCTGTCCTTTGGATTGGAAACCTTTTCCTCGGTACGGTGGCTTACATACTAATAATGTTTTCTATGCTTCATAACGTCTTTTTACCTTGGGATCAATCGGTCATGGAACGGTGTTATGTTCCTCAAATGCTTTAAAGCTGTAGCCTAGGTATCTTTTGCTTGGGATTTCTTTACAGAGTATATATCATTCATTAGTGTTTTCCTGAAAACTTGCTCTTTTGGCTTCAGCAGATGGACAAGGACAAGGAAAAGAAAAAGAGTTGGAACTACATTGTGGAGAAAAGTCATTGTTCCTTTTGAATGTATGTTTTGAAAGATGATATCCTCATTCCTCAGTGTTGTTGTAGAAACCCTTTGAATTTTTATTCAGACAATTTGCAAAAATTTCGAGTAATTTCCATTTTCCCAGCCTAAATTACAGACCTTTTAACACATTTCCAAAACTATGACATGACATTCTTATCAATCTATTGTTTTAAAGTAATCTGATATCCCATGAACTAAACATGTTGTCAAAGTAACCTGATATCCCAATGGATATTTAGGATCCGTTTGGAAAGTAGGAAAATGACTTTTGGAAAATATTTTCTGGAAAATGAGTCATTTTTCAAAAAAACATTTTCCTTTCTAGTGTTTGGATGGTGTGTTTAGTTTATTTTCTGAAAAAATGAGTAGAATTGTATGTTTAAACATTTTGGTAGAAAATGACTTCCCCCAAATTTTGACGTAAGTCATTTTCTGCCAAAATGGCTTCATTTTCCCCAATCAACAAAAAATATTCTCTGTTGACTGGATTTCCCTGTTGCATCCAAACACTGGAAACTCGAAAAACATTTTCCAGAAGTTATTTTTCAAATTTCCAAACCGACCCTTAGTGTATTCAAATGACCATTCTTGATGTCCTTCAAGCACATTTGGCCTCGAGTATTAGAACAAAATAAGGTTGAAGCTGATCATCATAACAGAACCAACTAGTGACTGCTGCGAAATCAAAACCAAACTGTACTGCTGGTGCCAAGTTTACCAACAATTTTTTACATCTAAAAGTCTCGAAATAACCAATGTTGAAAAAATCGCTAGGCGCCTAAGAGGCTTTTGCAACGCTGGAAATAACTAATGCAATGCACTATTCTTTACATTTACTTGAAACCCTCTCTAGTATGGGTATCGTTGGGCGTTGGTCGAGTTCAGCCCCTGCTCGATTCGAAACGTGATGTTGTGGCTTAACATGGAGGGATATAGTTTAATGATTAATGTCTACCTACTTAGACAAAGAACTTGTGGTTAAGCACTAAGATCCATCATATATCAGTAGCCAAATTGTTTGCTCAAACCATGTTCACAACTTCAAAAACATACAACAGGAGCTCTTGCACAAACTCACAAATAGGAATCTCTACATTCTGACAAATCAGATATTATTGATTTTTAAATTCAGAACATCACATATATGCCACTAATCTACATTCTCAATCAAAATTAAAAGCATGCAGCTTTTCAATCTGTGAAAGCCAACATGAAATGATTTCTAAGGCCTCTATAGTACTTACTGATATATAGGTGAAAATGGAATTATGTTCTCAAAATAAACATATCTCATTTTGCAAATTTCATAGCCGCAAATGAGCAAACACCTTAGGCGCACACACAAATGACAGTTCATCTAAAGCCTACAAAAAGAATAATAAAGCCAAACAAACCTCTTTCTGATCTGCCATGCATTCCCCTTTCAAAACCATCTTCTTTTTCTTCTCCTAGAAATCTTCATAGTCCCAAGAAACTTAACCCCTCTCTGCAAATCTCCCTTCAACAGAAACCCTCCCAAAGCAGCACAACAGCAAAACCCTAAAGCCCAATCCAGAACCCCTCTTTTCCACACATTGATTGATAACCCAAATAGGCTTAAACCTACAATTCCAAACACCATTTCTTGATCATATTCTTTCCAGAGTGCCAGCGACAAGGCGATACCAAGAATTACCAAGCTTCCCAAAACAACCCAATTCACTTTCCTCCTCTTTCCCCACCCGCCAGAGCCTTCCCCTCCATAACCCTTCAAGGATAAACCCCCACCCCCATTTCCACCGCAAAATTCTCTTATCAACAACTCGATTGGCTCCGGAAAAATCTTGAGCTTGGATGCTACCAAGTATGCCGATTCTAGCAGGATTTTAGTTGATCTTGCTGACCCGGATCTCCTTTTCCTCCTCAAAGCAGATACGACATGGATTTGGGATGAAAATTTATAGGGATGACACAGGGATTCTTGAATGTTCCTAGAAGACTTCGAAAATGAAGATTGTTTGAGTGAAAAGCAGGGGGATTGTGTTGGTTTACTTCTTGATTTGTAGAGGAATTTTGGATCTGGAAAACACTGGAGCTCGAATAAAAGCTTGATCTGCATTTTTCTCTTGCAAGAAATTTGCAAGGGGAAGGGGAGTGGTGAAGAAAGACGAAGAGACCGTTGCAGCTTACAAGCCAGGAATTAAGAATTTTAAAATTTTCATTTTTTTTTTTCTGGTGAGTTAAATATTTTGGGATTATGCAATTGGGACATTCAAATTCGAAAAAGTATTTTCTCAAAAAAAAAAAAAAAAAGTCGAAAAAGTATCGCTCAAACATCTTCAAAAAAGTCAATTGGCGCTTGTTTACTGAAAGTTTGTGGTCATTACTGATTTCAAAAAAAATTGTAAATAATTTTCTATTACACTGTTGTTGCCTGTTGGAATGAGAAATAACATTACAGTGTTGTCTATTTACTAGTCTCTTTTAGATTTTCCAGCTTACATTGGATTAAAACCCCTCTGGCCAAAGTGTTAGATGAGGTAAATCGCGATCAAATTATCAATTTCTATTTTATCTGTACACTCTGTGCATAAAGAGTCTCCATTACCTCTTATCAATTTTGGAAATTAATCTCCACCCTGTGTGCTCACTTTTTTAATTATTATTTTTTCCATCACCAACGCAAAGATATTGTCATACTAATTACTTATTACATTGTTCAAAGTAGGGAGCACGGTAATCCATTTGTTACATTTTGTAGATACTTAATTTGAAAATAAAGGGATTCATTGAAAGAAATGAACTACTACATTCAAAAATCGCTTTTTCATCTTGAAATGTCTCACAGCTACCTTTGATGTTAAGGTAAGAATCATTTTTTTTTGTCCGCACAGGCTTAACTTAATGGTTCAGTAAATAATATTTAGGAGAAGAGATCAATATTTGAATTTCGGCGGTGACAGTGTGGGAATTATGTCAAAGTGGACAGATTCTTTGTACGCACCGACATTTGCTCTGGTCTACTGAGCCACTGAGTAACCGTGATTTACATCCGTGCCGAGGTGTGGGGGGCCTGATACGCATAAAAGGGAAGAATCAATTGGTGACTTAATTAGGGGAGAGCTTGAAAGGAAAAGGAAGATGATTGATTATAGATTAGTAGGAGAAAATTATATATAATCATTACCTTGTATAGTTAGTATAATTTTAGTAGGTTATAAATTATTATATGTACTGTAATTTAGGGGGGTGTATTCAATCATGACTTTCATAGAGTTTTAAAGACTTTTATGAACTTTAAAAGTTTGGGGGTATTCAATTCAAACTTTTAGAGAGTCTTTGAAAGTCGTGATTGAATACACCCCCCTTAGTATGAGTATGCACATTGTATATGAGAAACCACTCAAAGAAATATATTGTTATTCTAGTTTCTTAGAGTCCTCAGACGTTCGAAATGTAAAATTAGAGTTTGTCTGACTCGAATACAGTTAGGAGCTATAAGTCAGTTCGAAAGATTTAATTTTTTATCTGATAAAAACCCCCCTTGTGTGTAACCCGAGAATTTTTTATTTTTTTTTGGGGGGGGGGGGGGAGGGGGTGGGGGTTGGACAATTCTTCGTTATCAAATTTGTAAAGAATGCTAATGGTCACTATTTAGGGAAAAGAGCAAATTACACTTTTGGTCCTGTGACTATTGTGGTCTTGTTAATTTGAGTACTCGACTTTAAAAACTAACAATTTAGTCCCATAACTATGCAATTTTTAACACATTTGGTCCATCCGGCCAAATCACCGGCCAAATGTGGCCGGAAAAATTTAAACCATTTTTAATTATTTAATGAGAGGGCAAATCGGTAATTTCAAATTCCGTTCTTCTTCTTCATTCACCTGCTGGCCGGTAATTTCAAATCCCTTAGCTTAATTCTAGATGAGCTCCTCCAGCTTCCATCATCGCCTCCCCTAGAGTAGCGGTCACCTCCGCCGTAGCCACCGCTGTCATAACCACCATCCCTGTGGCTATAGCCACCACCGCCTCCACCGTAACCACCGTCCCTGCGGTCGTAGCCACCACCGCTGCCACCCTCACGACGTGCACCACTGCCACCGCTTCCGCGAGACTGAGACTTGTTAACTGTTATGTTACGCCCATCAAGGGACTGGCCGTTCATCCCCTCGATAGCATCCTTCATTGCTTGCTCATCCTTGAAGGTAACGAAGCCAAAACCTCTGGATTTCCTAGTCTCATGATCGTTGATGATATGATCCACCACAGAATTCAACAACAAAGTCAGAACCATCCAAATCTACAAGCTAAAAATACAATATAATAACAACAAACTCGAATACATATATACGTATAACTCACTGGATCGTGTTTGCCGGTGATTTTGGACTCCAGTTGTCGTTGACTCGGGGTCGCCGACGTCGAGCAGCAGCGGAATGGCTCCGAGGTGTAACTGGCGGAGTCGCTCTTCTCCAGCACCCGTTCAAAGTTCCTGGCGATTTGGACTCGTGGGTTCGCCGTTCTATGCAAAAAAAAATCTGCAAATATTACTAGTTCTGCTCTTGGCAAGCCGGACATCTCCGTGTCAAGAAAAAAAAATCTCTCCTCCTTCATGCGTCGCTGGCTCCCGGCTGCCGCTGCTTCATCTCCGTGTTGCTGGTTTTGGGTCGACGAAGGGAAGCTTTAGCGTTGCAGCGAGGTAGTCCGGCGGAGGCAGGCTTGGCTTCCCGGCGAAATCGTCGTCGCTGCTTCCCCTCCCCCTTCAGGCAACGAGGTAGTCAGTGTCGGAGTCGCAAATGGTACACGAAGAAGAAGGAAGCAATTCAGCAAATAACTTTCCTTTTTTTAAACATAAAATGTCCATTTTGCCCTCATGAATAAATAATTTAAAAAGTTTTACGTTTTTCCGGCGACGTTTGGCCGGTTATTTGGCCGGGTGGACCAAATGTGTTAAAAATTGCATAGTTATAGGACTAAAGTGTTAATTTTTAAAGTCGAGTACTCAAATTAATAATACCCCAATAGTCACAGGACCAAAAGTGTAATTTGCTCTTAGGGAAAATTAGCATTTTTTTCCTAAGTTATATACCCTTAAACTAAATATTTCTTTTATTTTTCTTCTCCAACAAATTATGATCACGATTTGATTCAAACTGAACATACACTATAGCAATCAAATCGAAATATTCCAATTACAATTTAGAAGCGAAACCCGATATTTAGAGTTTATTAAAATCGCGAACCGGAACGGTTGGTTCATGTTCCGAACTGAAAAAAAATACATTTATTGTTGAATTTAGACTATTTTAAAATAAAAAATAAAATTTTAAAATAAAGACGGTTCAAAATCGTGAACCGGATCCGGAACCGCCGGTCTACGGTTCATGATCCAATTTTTTCGATTCAGAATTTTAATAAACTGAAATCCAAATATTAGGTTCTGATATGAATCATAACCGGAAACTTTCAATTCGATTGTTATAGTGTCCGGTTTAGTTCGAACCGAACAGTGGTCATCCCTACGTATACGCAATAATTTGTTGGAAAAGAAAAATAAATAAAATGTTTATTTTAAAGGTAGAAATGTCAATTTAATATATCAGAGAGAAAAAACCACCACTTTTAGAATAATTGAGGGGGCTAATGTGCTTACATGAATAATTTAGGGAAGAAAAGTGCTATAAGTATATAACTCAGAGGGAAAAAGTGTCATTTTCCCCAATATTTATATCGTGGGTCAGAGTGCATTTTGCTAGATACACATAACAAATACAAATAAAATTAATATATATAAAAATATATTGTTAAAAAAACTCTAACTGGGATCTTTTAAATATAATACACACAGAGAATTCGGATCAAATAAGAACTCGCGTCCATGATAGAACTAGGAACCAATCAAAGTTGTCAATCTGCAAAGATCTAACCGTCTTAGGGGAACTAGAAATTGATATTGCAAATTTCCAATTGAAGAAAACCTCATAATCTGCAAAGTCACGCCCAAAATTCTTTTCACTAAAGATCATCATTTGTTTTTACGATTACACGGTTTAAATGATTTACTAAACTAAGTTTACCACATATTTAAACATTAATCTTGTAAAATAAAAGTTCTACAATATAATTTGACTTCATCTCTTTGATTACACAAATCGTATACCGACATGAATTTTTAATACTATTTATACCGTGATCTCGACTGGAGCAATTTTTCTTAATAGTACTCTTTTTTGTCCCTTGATTGAAGTTTATGTAGATATAGGAGGTTGTGAGTTCGAGCTTCAGTTGAGGTGATATTGACTCTTTGTGTTCCATTGAGAAAGTAACTATGAACAGATACTACATTGTAATAGAGTCAATAATATTCAAAAAAAAAAAAAAAAAAAAAAAACTTCTCTTACACATCCCTTTTAAATAGCATTCAGACACCCTTGGTTTTAGGTTTCAAAGACAGCATGTTCACTCGTCATGTTGTGGTCGTCTGGAGAGGATAAATCCCAACCACAATATAGTTCGGAGAAACAAGGAATAACAGATTAGTATCCAAGAATAAATCTTGGCCACAATAAAATTCCTTACAAATAGGAATTATGAAATAAATAAGACTTCTAGCAGAAATAAGTCTCTCTTGGACCAACATAGACTCTGTTTGGCAAACCTAGCTGAAAAGCTATAAGCTAGGAGCTGATAGCTGAAAAGGAGTTGAAAGCTGAAAAGCTATAAGCTCGGAGCTGAAAAGCTGAAAAGGAGTTGAAAGCTGAAAAGCTATAAGCTCGGAGCTGAAAATTGAAGAGCTGTTAAGCTAGCTGTTATGATTAAAAGTGTTTGGTAAAATTAGCTTTTTGATAAGCTGATAAATGTAAAAAGACTAAAAAGGACATCTTCATAACATTTAAATTAGTTTGTTTACATATTAAAATTTAACATTTCGTCTTCCAAAAAAAGTAAACACTTTTTAAAATAAAACTTTAGCATGATCATGATCTAGCATCCCATAATGAAGTAGCAATATTGTTGCGAATCTCCTTCATCTCCATAGAGGTGTGACTTAAATTTTCGTTGATGGAGATATTACTACTTGAATCTTGAAGTTCATCGGGCGGTATGTAATCTGGATGCTACTCAAGCACATTAAAAATCATGTCATCTTGTGAATTCTTCCGAATATAATTATGTAGTGCAAATGTGGCCATAATAACATCAATTTGAGTCTCCTCACTAAACTGCGGCATTTTAGCAAGTATCTTCCATCTCTTATTCAATACTCCAAACGATCTCTCAATACAACTTCGAAGAGAAGAATGTGCACGATTGAATGCTTCTTGAGCATTAGTTGGCGGCTCTTGTTCAAATTGAGATTGAAGCCATATTGCTAATTTAAAAATAATAATAATAATAATAATAATAATAATAATAATAATAATAATAATAATAATAAGCTAAAGTTTCAACATAATTGTTTAGCAGGAAACAAGACTAAGGAAGGGATTGACGTGAAAGTTGGGATAGGGGAAGAGAAAGGGTTTTAATTCATAAAGTTAAAATATGTCATTACTTTAAAATAATAAGAGTAAAGATGGAAAAAAAGTTAGGAAGCTAGTAGCTTATTTTGAAACGCTACCTAAAGTAGCGTTCCAAAATAAGCTCTTATTTTAAGCTAGGAGCTTATTTTGGGAACATTACCAAACAGAGCTTATAGCTTATTAGTAGCTTAAAATAAGTTATAAACTCCTAGCTTAGCGTTGCCAAACAGAGCCATATATGCCAATTAAAGTAAAACAAGTACGGAGTAGTATTTTCAAAAAAAAAAAAAAAAAAAAGTAAAACAAGTATAGTCAGTACAAAAGTAAATATACTTACCAAGTGGCTTGTAGTCCACTGGAGCAAATTACACTTTTGGTCCTGTGACTATTGTGGTCTTGTTAATTTGAGTACTTGACTTTAAAAACTATCAATTTAGTCCTGTAACTATGCAATTTTTAACAGATTTGGTCCTGCCCACCAAATCGCCGGCCAAATGTCGCCGGAATCTTTTAATCCAATCTTATTTGTTTAATTCGGGGGCAACTTGGTCATTTCAGGTGGAAAAAAAAGGGGAAAGTTGAGCCTTCTTCCTCCTCTTCAGGCTCTGTCAACGCGAACGGCACAACCATGATGACGAAAAACTCCGACTCTGTTTTCTCCTCCAATACATGCAAATCGAGGCTACCATTGTGGACGGTGAAGTTATTGAACAAAAAAAAAAAAAAAAAAAACTTTCTGGTACTAATTTGCACTTGTCATCTTCATCTAGTTTAGAAATACGTTGGGGCTAGGGAGTGCCGTCTCTTACAGATCCTTCACCTCACAGACTGCCAAACAATTTATTTTAAAATTTTCAAATACATGCATTTAATTCTTAATACACCGGTCGTCGCTGCAAAGGAATTAATGGCTCCGCCGCCGTTGCCGGATCCGCCATTATATAGTCACTATTAATTTTTTTCAAAGTTTAATTCAAATAATGCTCAATCCAGTGTTTGTTGATAGGTGAATGTCAAAACGTTGACTCGTTGAGAGTAATTTGGTTAACATAATTCCATTCCATTTCTTCATCGTTTCACGGAAACGGCGGCGTCAGTTTCTTTTTTCACCGACGGAGACAATGGAAAATTCATGGTGGGGCAAGTGAGGATTTTGAAATGCGGTGAAAGGTTGGGTGATACTGCGCCATTGAAGAAGATCGGGGAGAAGGTTGAGCCCATGGGCTGTGTTGAAAGAGTGGAGGGTGAGTCGGTGTTCATACACCGACCCGAAACAACGCCGAAAAAGTTGAACATCGCCGACTTTTATGCCGGATCGGCATGCGATTCCTCTCCGCCGCCAAGCTCCCTGCCCGTCCCAGGCTTCTTCAAGAAGAAAACAACTTAAATTGATTTTTTCCTTTATTTTTCGTCCCTGAAAACAACTTAAGTCGTCCCTGAGAACAACGACTATGCAGAAGATGATTTTTTTCCTAGAATCAGTTGCAGCACCCGACCAGATGATTTTTTCTTTTTTCTTTAAAAAAAAAAAAACCTAAATTGACCATTTTACCCCCATAAGTAAACAATTTTAAATGAATTACATTTTTCCGGCAACATTTGACCGGCGATTTGGCCGGTAGGACCAAATCTGTTAAAAATTGCATAGTTATGGGACTAAATTGATAATTTTTAAAGTCAAGTACTCAAATTAACATGACCACAATAGTCACAGGACCAAAAGTGTAATTTTCTCTAGTCCACTGGTATCGAGTTATTCCCCTAAGTGGGAGGTGTAAGGTTTGAACCTCAGTTGAAGCAAATAGTGCAACTAGTGTGTATATGTAGGGTATCCTTCTTCATTATATATAAAAAAAAAAAGTAAATATACTTAATATTTTCGTACTAACAATCACAAAACGAAATCATGGTTTAAACTTCACTTACTTCTAGGAGACTTCCCTTTAAGCGGATTGGAGATGTGTTTGTGTTTGGTGTTTCCCATTGAAATGACGGCAAGCTTTCTAGAATGATCAAAATTACTTCCTTTAGTTGGTGTTGGAATGATCAGAATTAGTTCTCATGTAGCTTAAAGAAACTTAATAAAAAAAAAAATGAGAGAATCACAAAAGGTACTTTGTAGAGTTTAACAACGTATTCCACAAACTCGTGAAAAAAGAAGTGAGAGCTGATTTGTTCCGTCTATTTGGATAAATCAACAGTTGAGAGTTACTAAAAAAATAATGGGACAAATGACATGATCAGTTTTTATAAATATTACAAACTTAAAAGTTTAAAATAATTATAAAATTAATTAAGTGTTTTTTTTTTTTACTAAAATCATCATTAATTAATAAATCTCTGATATACGACTAAGATCAATACTCACTTTTTATAGGAGAGAGTCATTCTCATTTGAAAACACCCATATATGTGTGTGTGAAACAATCCCTTCTACCATTTAGTTGCGCTCATATATATATATACATATATATATATATATACATATATATATATATATATATATATATATATATATATATATATATATATATATATATATATATATATGCGCGCACACACACGTGTTACAAACTTTCCTTTCATTATTTTTCTCTTCTTCTTCTTCTTCTTTTTTTTTTTTTTTTTTTTTTTTTCATCTTTCTTCCTTTGTGTTAGAGGTATAAAGTGAAATTGTACTTGGAACAAAATGATACTATAATTATGCTTAAATGAATTTACAATGTATATAAAATGAAACTAAATACGTCATACAAACATAATTAATTAGACGGAACGGGACGTTTCTTTTCATTAAAAGAACCGACGATGTTTTAGACCATAGTCCATACAACTATGTGGACCATGATCCATGGTAAAATTTGTCTTTCCAATCCCAATATAATAATAATTGAATAATATTGGTCCTCAAATTAGTATTTGATTTTAATAAAAACTTAAAACTTTTGACATGCTTAATTTAGTTTCTCAATCCATGATTGGGAGAACTTTTATAATTTGCACTTTTCTTTTGGTCTATTATATCTTGGACCTATATGTGTGTGCAACTGTGCATTTATTACATAGATAGTGAAATGGCCAAATTTAGGATTCTCATATCATGTAGAGGTATAATTGCTCTTTCTTGCACTTTCTTGCCAAAAGCAAGTAATAGTAGTTGGAATATTAAAATGGTGGTTGTATTTTGCTTTCTGTATATCACTTTAAGCACATGACTATGAATGAAGAATTCAAAGCCATCCACTATATTATGGACACTACAACACATCTCAACATCAATGCCACCTATTAGTCCCTTGAGACTTGAGAGAAGACATTTTAGCTCTATGCAACTGACCATTTGGAAATAAAAAGCTAATTGCATTAAACAGATAAATATACGAAAACAAAATTTTAATCTAGGGTCTAGTTGAGTAAAAGCGAATAAGCGACTCATTCATCCTTCACTAAACGTCAAATATCATCATTGACATTGGGTATGGAACAACCTTAAATCTCCATGCCAACTGCCCCACCTTTAAAGATGCCTACAATTCAGTAACGAGATTAGTCCTTGTGTTTGATAACTGGATAACACCAAAAAAAAAACATAAAAGGGAAAATTTTGATAGAGGAATCCATAAGATTGATTGGAGGTGGGTCCAAAACTCTAATGACAATGCAATCACTTTATGAATTGAAGCTGCAGCTATAAGAATAAGATGGGACTAAATGGTCAGTCTTGGAGTTTATCTGAGTGGGCTAACCAAACATCTCTGAGAGCATACAGAAAGGAAGACTGAAGTATATACAAACTTCACAGACCTGGAACTGAGAATTCTAGCATGGGAATCAAAGGTTTGATACAACAAAACCCACCTGCATCTGGTTCAGTATGCGTCGAAAAACGAAACCACTGCTTCATTTTTCCACCCAATAATGTAAACATGGTAGCATACTCTGTAGAAAGAAGAAACAACCACTGGTATAGTCTCTTCTTCTTTTCGTTTTTAATTTAAATTTCTTCGGCTTTTGGCTTATGTTTGTATGATTCTTCAATTTTCTGGAATTGAGTATAATCCAACTGATCATGCAGGTTTGTGAAGACCAAAGCTTCTTCTGATTTGACTATACAAATTGAAAATAAAAGCTTTCACCTGCACAAGGTGAATTTCTGCAGCATAGTTTCTCTCTTGTCCTTTATTATAAGATTTATAGTTGAATTCAGATCACAAAGATTTGTTCTGCAGATTCCTATGGCTTTAAAAAGTGGATATATTAACAGATTAGCATTTCGAAGCAACGGATCATCACCAGACAGCGATCCCAGCAGCATTCAGATGGACAGTATTCCAGGTGGGGCTAAAATCTTTGAGCAAGTAGTGAGATTCTGCTATGGACTGAAGATCAATGCTACTCCAACGAACATTGCCCCTCTCTACTGTGCTGCACATTTCCTGGAAATGAACGATGATCTCGAGCCCGGGAATCTGATCTCGAAAGCAGAAGCATTTCTCAGCTTCATAGTCCTCTCATCATGGAAAGACACATTTAGAGTGGTGAGGAGCTGTGAATCGGTTTCCACGTGGGCGAAAGAACTGCAGATTGTGAAGCAATGCTCAGAATCGATTGCTTGGAAGGTCTGCTCGGGCACAAACGCGAGTAGTTTTGTAAGCAATGAAGTGTTCTTGAATGTGGTGGGAAAGACCAGCACAGATGACAAAGACCTCCCTTCAAATTGGTGGTTTGAGGATGCCTCAACCCTCCGAATAGACCATTTTATCGAGCTCGTCTCATCAATCAAGAAGAGGAGGAAGATAAAGCCCGAGCTCGTTGGATCATGCATAGCTCACTGGACCAAGAAATGGCTCCCGAGAGTCCGAATAGGGAAACAGAAATCAAATAATGACAACAATGATGATGATGACGATGACCTGACTATTCGGCTACACAGAGTCACACTAGAATGCTTAATAAGGATACTACCCAATGAAGATAATTCTGTTTCCTGCAATTTTCTTCTCCAACTTTTCAAGATTGGGGTGGGGATGAGAATTGACTCTGAATTGCTAAACCAAGTGAAAACAAGAATAGCAATGATGGTGGAGAGGTGTAGGGCTAAAGATCTCCTGGCCCTCTTTGATGTCGAAATTGTTGGCCAAATAGTAGAAGCGACCTATGCCTGCTTTCACCACATATCAGGAAAAACTCATCAGGTTGCAAAGCTGGTAGATGAATATCTGGTTCTGGTGGCAAGAGATGAGAGCCTAACTGCAAAAAAATTTCAGATGCTTATCCAAGTACTGCCCAAAGAAGCTCGAAACTGCGATGACAACCTATATACAGCCATAGACATGTACCTCAAGGTATATTTTTTATTTTTGAGAGACAAGATCGACATAAAAAATTAAAGTTTGATACTGAAGCATGTGCTGCATCTCAATTAAAAGTCTAAGCTGATAGTTGGATTGCACATTAATGGTTATATGCTCACAGATATGATATGATGATATGGCCGCATGCAGGCACATCCTAAGCTAACAGATGAGGAAAGAAGAGAGATATGCAGGACATTGGAATACCATAAGCTGTCAGCGGAGGCGCGGGCACATGTGATGAGGAACCACAGGCTGCCAGAGAGCATGATGGTGCGGTTTATACTCCTGGAGCAAGTGAGCATGGCCAGATCATCTGCATCTGCAGGCACTTTAGTTAGCTGTTCATCTGGCGGCCGGGCAGTGCTGAGAATTAGCAAGGAGTTGAGGTCTCAAAAGGAGGATGTTAAAGTGATGAAGAAAGATGTTGAGATGTTGAAGATTCAAGTGGGGAAACTGCAGATGTGTAGAATGGAACTTCAGAGGCAAATCAACAAGCCTGCACTCATTTGATCCTTGGGCATGGTTTGGGCATTGGGCATTGGGCATTTTCTCTTCGGATTGGGACATGAAGACCCTTGTAATTGGGGATTCAACCTTTTGGGAGAAGAACAATTATGCTCCTTCTGTTTTTGGATAATTACCTTAGCTTCTCTTCCCTCGACATTTTGATTATGAGACCACTAGGAATCATGAAAATGTGTGTGTGTGTTTTTTTTTTTCTTTCATATTTCCTAATGGCTAGTAAATTTGACACTGATATCTCCTTCCACTCTATTTGGCCATATTTCATTTTGACTAATGTTACGGGTATTAATAACCGGTCATGTGTTGTTCTAGTCAATATATGGAATAACTCTTATCAAATTAATGCAAAATAGTTTATAGTTTATGGGTGTTTGGTAAATAAGTGACCAACTCTCTTTTTAGTTAATTTGATTTACTTGTGAGTTGTTGCATAATTAAAATGAATGTTTGGTAAATGATTGATTACTTTTGCTGATTATTGTCAATCAAGTGATTTTTAAAAGACTATTTGGAGCAATGTTTTTATAGTTAAACAATTAAAATGTGTTTGGTAAATGGTTGACTACTTCAACTAATTTTCAAAATGTTGCTTGGAGAGTGTTTTTATATAAATTATCAACTAATTAGAGTCAATTTTTTTTTTTGGTCCTAGATTTATTGGGGCGTGGACAGTTTTCATTCTCCATAATAAAAATTGTCAATTTGTAGCCACACTTATTGGTTGTTGGACACTTTTAGTCCTCCGTCGAAATTTTCGTTTGTTGGCCGTCTAAATGAAGGGCATTTCTGTCAATCCAGCTTATTTTTTTGATCATCAATTGATCCTATGCATATACAACTCTGTTTTACTGATCGCTCACTGACGAAGAGGTTGAGAAGCGAGAGTGGAATCGAAGTAAAGGCAAAGACGACGATGCGACCATCTTTTCCTCATCGTTCGATGGGCTGTTCAAACGAAATCGCTGTGACGCTCGTCCAAAAGGGATTTGCAATGACATTGAAGATCTCAGTGGCGATAAAGACAGTAACAAGAAAGGGCTCGATGAAGACCTCAAAGATCTAAGTAGTTTGAAGACCCCCAACAACCCAGATTGGAGTGCGATCAGTAAGATGTTTGCGATCGGTCAAAGAATTGCGACGTCTCTGGAATTTCTTAGGGCGGAGCTATGATCGGTTTTGCGTCTAGAAGGGGAATTGCAGGTTGGATCTCTGAAATCGATTTTGGTTCACGAAGTGGACACCAGAAGGGGGGGGGGGGGGGGGGGGGGTGGGGCAACATAGATTCTCCAATGTCGTAGCCCTAGACTTGGCAACCATCAGGCGAACTAAGCCGAGCGTAGCCAAAGTTTGAGTAGAAATTGATGCCTCTAAACCTTTGATTGATCGAGTTTGGGTGGAAATTGTTGGAGGTGAAGGGGAATTGAATGGATTTTGGCAGAGGATTGAGGTGGAGAAAGTGCCGGCATATTGCTCTAGTTGTGGTTGATTTGGTCATGCTATGGCTATGACAGAGTGTCGAAGGATGAGTCGAGAAGGAGAAGGTGATGTGAGGGGACTGGAGGTGGAGGAGGCGATGGAGTTGGTTGCAGTCGAGGATGACGCGGTGTTTGATGGCGCTGGAGTGCCGATTGTCGATGACGGCGCCGGTCGGAGAAGGCTTGAGCAGGAGGAGGCAGAGGCTACGAAAGGGGTAGAAAGTTCTGGGTTATTGGGTTTTCGAGCTGCTGAGAGAGATTTTGGTCGTTTCTAGGGCATAATAAACTCAAAATTGGGGGGAAATATATGAGCAAAGAACTCAGTTGCCAGAGGAGAAATCTGAGCAGAAAACTTGTTGCCGGAAACCACAGAGAACCCGACGATCTTCACTGAGTCGCCCATCAAAATCCCAGCAAGTCCAAAATAAAATCCATTCAAACAACTTTGACCGAAGAACAAATCAGAGCAGATACGTAAGTCGCCGGAACTCCTGAAGTTGCCGGAAATCTTCAAGCTGTTGCTCTTTAAGATAAGGTTGAGAAGAAGAACACATGGAAGGATAGAAATATCCCTCGTTTAGACGGTCAACAAACAAAAATTTAAACGGAGGACTAAAAGTGTTCAAGAACCAATAAACGTGGCTACAAATTGACAATTTTTATTATGGAGGATGAAAATTGTCTACGCTCCAATAAGTCTAGGACCAAAAAAGGAATTGACTCAACTAATTATTAAACATTTGATTGAGATTGACCAACCAACTCAACAAAAGTTTATTTACCCAGGTTGATGTAATAAATAAGGATACAAATAAAATATAAAGACTATATTTGGTAACACAGTTAGCTTATCAACTAATTTTAACTTATTTGATCATTATTAGCTTTTTGACTTGGTTAAATAGCCAATATAAGTGTTTGTAACAACTTATTGCTCCAAAACGCTAAAATTCAAAAAACGACCCAAAGTAACTTTTTCGACTGACTTTTGAGAAAGTCATTTTGCATGTAATCAGCTAACAACTAATTTACCAAATATCTTCCTACAATCAACTAATACTATTAAGTAGTTAAACCTACTAACTCAATTAACTAGTCAAACCTACTAACTCAATTATACAAAATGCCATTTGTATCAAAATTTTACTAACGTGACTCGTCTCATCATTTATTTAAAGTCACTTGACTAATACGGAGTACCAAATTACAAAAGCCAAAAGAGGATTAAACCATCTCAGAAAAAAAATTCAAAATAAGAGAAAAGAATTCCCTCCAGGCTTCGAGTTATAGTGTTATATACTACAGCTCATATCTTTTCCTGTACGTTGTGAAGGCATATATTATGGCGGAAGGGGAAAGAAGCGCAAACGAGCCAGTACCCGACCCGAATCCGTGCCCTATCTGCCTCGGACCCGTGACTCAAGATTCATACTTGGAGCAATGCTTTCGTACGTTTCATTCCCATTCTCTCAGCTTATATAATGCCTGATTCACATCAATACGCGCATTTGTATGTAGTTATACAAATTCTTAATTTTGCTAAATACACGTAAATTTTACATTTTTGTGAATTATGCTTTATCATACTGTCACTGGAATTCAATCTGCAGTTATAGGCTTGTTGAAAATTAGGGTTGAAAGTTATTGCTCTTAATTTATCTAAAACTTGAGACCTGTATTATGTCAATTGAGAAGATCAGCATCATTTTATCGGTCTGATATCTTGGTCGATGACCTTTTGTATTAAATTGAGATCAAGGGTTCAAGTATGGTTTCGTTGTCCTTGCAAATTTGTAAACCTTGCATTGTTTCTAGTTTAGGAACATTTATGGGATACCTGATGTTGTTTGGCCCTAAAGATGATTCAAAAGTGGGGTACTGAATGGCTGAAAGTTACACATAACAAGAAAAGCTATGGTGTGATCATAGTCTTTGAGGGTTTTTGGTATTTTGCAGATAAGTTTTGCTACAACTGCATTCTACGTTGGACCAAAGTGGTTGCTAGCAAGCATTCTTGTAGACAGACTTCTGTAAAGTGCCCTCTCTGTAAGGTCTGGTCCTGTTTATCATTTTTGTTGGTTATGGGCTCTGATTTGTCTAGATTGACCTAGCATGCTGTAGAGAGTGGGTCAGTGGTGGGAAAAATCTTGGAACTAACAGAGGGAAAATTAGAGCAATCACATTAGAAGATTGGAGGCCTACTCACAATTTAGTTGTATTGCTTTCATGATCTTAATTCTTAATAACCATTAATTTATTCTATCTGAATTTTACACTATGGAAATGAATCAGAAAAGATAGGCAGCTTGAGGGGTGCTATCATTCGTTTGATGCTTAGTATCCAACTACTATTGCCTAATAACTACTATTCGTTTAATGGACTTGCTTGACAAAGTTAGGGTTTGGTTATTTTTGTAATTTCTATTTTGTCTTCTTTATTTGACTTCATTCCTTATTTTCTCTCCATTTTCCCTTATTCTCAACCCATTTACCTCTGTGGACTGGTATGTGGAGAAAAAAGCCCTATTCATCATTGCAGCTTACCTCCCTTTACTTCAAAATTGACACTATAACACTACTGGAAATTATGGAATTTCCGACCACCTGAAAGTGATCTTAAATCAAGTCGAAAGCCTTGTTTCGACCACTTTTGGTATCCGGAAAAACCTTTGTTGCTATTTCCGACCACTTTTTGGTATCAACTTGATTTAAGATCACTTTAAGGTGGTCGGAAATTCCATAATTTCCAGTAGTGTAAAAAGGCAAAAATGTTAGGTTGTAATAGTTTTTTGGTTCAAAGTAGGGAGGTTTTCTGATGTAGAACAAGGGAACGGGAATGTCAACACTCAACACCTGATAAGAGAAAATTCTCTAAGTAACAAAATAACTCAAAACATATAATATTTCATATCTCCCCCTGAACAATGTAAAAAGACCCTATAAATAGGTCATAATAGTTTAAAAGTGCCAAAGTTGCCTATAGGGATTAGGGAAATTAAGACTCAGAGAATTGGGGAAAATTGCCGAAGTTGAGACACCTTTGATGAGTAGTAAGAGAATATGTGTGAAATTATATAAAAGCCCTCCATTTTGACTATTCTAGTCACATGACCTCAAAACTGTAATGTCATCAAATGAGACCATCACTAGAGGAGCTAACATTGCAACTTTTTTGAACAAAAACAGGTGACATTTCCTCACCCATGACAACAAGGGATCAAAGCGACTAAATGCAAACAGTTGAGATGCCAAAATCACATTTTCCCATAATATAATTAATGAAATTTGAACCAGTGATTTTTTTTTTTTTTTTTGAACTTTTGACTGTTTGGACTAAATAAACAGTATATGTGTGTATGTGTATCACTACACATATATATAAATCCCAAAAGTTTTGTGGGCCTGTGTTACCCTAGTCCCCCCTCCAACCCTGATCTTTGTTAATTGAATTAAGAATTTTCAAACTGATACAGATGTCATAAAAATGAAATAAAAAATTACTTTTTCTGTTTCAGATGCAAGTATATTTATCAATGAACATACCTAAATCTTCTGTACGAAGTGCTCCATATCAATTAGAGAACATGAAATACTATTTCTAGCTTCATGTTTATGCGAAAAGAACTGATGTTACTTGCATCTGAAGTTTCTGGTACTCATTCAGCTCTGCTATTTTGCTCTCAAGAAGCCTTGTAACCTCAGAATATTTTAGACTCACAGCAAAATGACCAGTATAGTATTCATTTTTTATTGTCTGCTAGTTTATGAGTGTTACCAGACTGGCTGTAAGATGAAAGCACTTACGTAACACCCCGTGAACACAATCCTGATGACATTTTCTTGTCTGCTTTTTCTATATGGAGTTTTAATATCTCCGAAATATCTTTTTGCTCAAGTGTGCTTTTGAACTTGATTTGAATGACAAATCTTCAATTCTGATTGCATTATGCTTTTATAATAGTAATTTACAGCATTTCCTGGTACACCCTTTGACTTCCAGTCAGATTAACATTTTTTTATTGCAAATATTCAGATAGAAAGCTTTTCAATCGTACATGGATATGATGGAAGTTCTTTTCAAAGACATTATGTTGGTCAGGATCTGGGAAGTAGGTAAGCTCCTCTCAGGCTCCCCTTAGATTAGCTTTATATTTGATCTTCCTTTTTAGCTTTTCAAAAATCAGTCTTCTGTTTGGCTATTTGAAAATCATTAACATATTCACTTTCCCTTTGACATGTGAGTCAGTGCATTTTTCACGAAACTTCACAAGTATAGATTACAGTGCTATTACACCGAAGCAGGTATCTATCTAGCTGTTTGTGATCTATTATCAAGCTTTCCTCTCCCATTTACTCTATTCTAACCCAAGTTCGTATCCATCTATTATGAATTATGAGTTGTGCAGGTACTCTGGCTGACAAATTGAAGGTAATGCGATACTGGAAGTTGCACAAGTATCGTCAGCCTGCTCATCAACTTTACAGTTGGCTGACAAGGGAAATCCAAGCATTAACACAGGTTAATATGTCCAACTCTCTTTCTCCTCCATGTTACTGTGCCCTGTTCTTCACCACTGATTGCTTATGCAATTTCTTCTCTCAATCACTCTGCATACTGTTTGTGCATGTGAATCATTCAATTTTGCACATTATGGGAAGTGCACATCAGGATGGTGTTAGTCAACTACCTTTACACTTTTCGCAGCTGTTTGAGGTCACCAAATTTCTCCTTTTCCTTTGAAAAGATACAAGCACTTCAAGTAGAGAGAAATTTTCTGATTGTGAAACAAAAAGATGGATAACTTGGGGGGAAAAAGGAAGGGATATCCCATATCTTGGTGTTGACTGGAATATCAAGTTTGTAATTTTTCATGGATGCTAACAGCCTGTCCCCCATCCCATTCTTATTGGTACCAAGTACACATTTGGAAAAAAGAAGGAAAGCTTTAGCAACTGCTTCCTACCTCTAAACAAAACTTCCTATGATTGCCAGTTATCTACTATTTTGGTACTCTCTATTCTTGGTTTCTTCGCTGTTTTCATTTGATCAAGTTCTACTTCTCTAACAAAATTCTAAGCTCCATTCTTGATGCACCTCCTATCTTCTCAACTGGCGACAGGATGTGCATGGCCTGAATATTTATGTATTCTGCAGTTCCTTCGTTTGTGTTGATTTTGGTGTTCAGTGGTGATAGATGCAATAGACAAACAATGAGCTGTTATAGTTTGGAGAGGGTATTTAATGACTATTGTAGTATTATGGCTAGCCTGTCTCTTTGCTTTGCTGAACTGCCCCATGCACCTGTTGGTTTGGCTAAATGCATGAAAGAGAAACATATCCTTCATAACCAAACAGGTTCTGTTGGTTAATGGAACCTAGATGTGATTTTTTTATTTTTGTTTATAATGTCATCTTGTTGAAACAGACCCCCAACATTTATTTTTATCTGTCTGTCCTCGATGTATTGTAACAGTTGTCTTCTTGCCAAAGGGATGGACCATAGCATGCTGAAATAAGTGTTGTAAAAATTGGCCTAGGCACCGATTAGGCGCCCCTAGACCTAAGGGATTTCCCTCCTAGGCTCTATTTAGACTAGCCGGCCGACTAGTTGGCCAACTCCGAGCCAACTTGGCCGAGTTTTTTTTTTTTTTTTTTTTTTTTTTTTGAATTTGGTTTATTTTGCTCAAAACGATGTATTTTTGAGCGAAATAAACCAAAATTTAAAAATCCCAATCTGCCAAAATCCATACCCCTCCCCGCCCCCCCAAAAAAAAAATTGCAAAAAATCGCCCACATCATCTGACGAACCGAGCCTCGCCGTCCCTTCTCCCTTCCCTTCTGAGTTCCATCATCTCGTGCACTGCCTTCCCGTCGCACAGCTACTCCACACTCCACAGCATCGTCGGCTCGTCGCACAGCATTGCCGTCGTTGACTCGTCAGATAGGCATTGCCGTCGTTGACTCGTCAGATAGCCTCGCTGTCGCAGCAGTGCAGTACAGCGCCACAACCAAGCTCCTAGTCCGTTGCTAGACAGCCTCGCCGTCGTCGTTGCACAGCCATACCCCTCCAGGAGTCCAAGTTCCAGTCGTCGTTGCACTTGGTTGTTTACAAATCTTGTTACGAAAGTAAAGAGAAGATTTCTGAATATGCTGTCGTATAGAAAAGATAATACAAAGCTCTATAAATTCATAACCAAACAGGTTCTGTTGGTTAATGGAACCTAAAGCTGATTTATTTTTTCTGTCTGTCCTCAATGTATTGTAACAGTTGTCTTCTTGCCAAAGGGATGGACCATAGCATGCTGAAATAAGTATTGGTATCATGAATTCAGTGTTGTAAAAATCCGGCCTAGGCACCGATTAGGCTCTAGGCACCCCTAGACCTAAGGGATTTCCTTCCTAGGCGCTATTTAGACTAGCCGGCCGACTAGTTGGCCAACTTAGAGCCAACTTGGCCGAGTTTTTTTTTTTTTTTTTTTTTTTTTTTTTTTTTTTCATATTTAATTTGTTTATTTTGCTCAAAACGATGTCTTTTTGAGCGAAATAAACCTAATTTTAAAAATCCCAATCTGCCAAAATCCCTACCCCCACCCAAAAAAAAAAATTGCAAACAATCGCCCACATCATCTGACAAACCGAGCCTCGCCTTCCCTTCTCCCTTCCCTTTCGAGTTCCATTGCCTCGTGCACAGCCATGCCGTCACACAGCCACCCCACACTCCACAACATCGTCGGCTCGTCGCACAGCATTGCCGTTGTTGACTCGTCACACAGCCAGACAGCCTCGCTGTCTCAGCAGTGCAGTACGGCGCCACAACCAAGCTCCCTAGTCCGTTGCTAGACAGCCTCGCCGTCGTTGTTGCACAGCCATACCCCTCCATGAGTCCAAGTTCCAGCCGTCGTTGCACTTGGTTGTTTACAAATCTTATTGTTACGAAAGTAAAGAAAAGATTTCTAAATATGCTGTCGTATAGAAAAAGAGAATACAAAGCCCTATATATAAATACATGCTAGAAGACTTCGAATAGGAAACCAAGTTTCCATATGCCTACCTACCTAAATCCCTAAGACTGCCTAATCTATCGAGGTTCCAAATATTATATCTATATTCCATAACACTTATGTTGAATGGATTTGCTTGAAAAGGTGTTTGTTATTTGTACAAGAGTGTTTTAGCAAATGTACACTACACTGCGTGCCTAGCGTCTTCTACAACATTGCATTAATTAAGAGATGAATATGTAATTGTCTTTGCATAGGTAGTTGTGCTTATGTCATTACAACCTAAGTGTTATCACAAGGTTAACTCAATCATAAACTTTGATTGTGCTTCATTCTTGATCATGTGTTTGCTAATTCACTCCATTTACTTCATATTCAGGAAGAAGATGTTGATATCATTGTGCATCATGTATTCGGAGTAATTGAATCCTTCAAGAGGTAATATTTGCTTTGCCAAGTAATGTATAACTAAACCAAACATATTTGTATAATCTTCTCCATTAGACTATTTTGCTCAGAGTTTTGTGCCTTTGACCTGAACATTTGCAGTTTAAGTATGTAGCCTGATTCTCAAAGCCAGTTTTATGTTGGATGAATGTGTTCTCGTGCTTACTTTTAATTAGAAAACTGCAGACTATCATGCATTCAACACATTTGTTCGATTAATGTTGTAATATCGCAGAAATGAGCAAAGCCATATACAAATGACTCCAGAGGCAAATCAAGAGGAATTCCGAGTCTTGGTCTCTCAAGCAGCAAGGCCTTTTTTGACAGGTAGAACGGATCGTTTTGTGAATGAGGTACAACTGTTTTTAGCTTCGGAGTTGACAATGGATGCCTTTGACAAAGTTTATGTCCAGCATCTAGGCTGGAAATTCCCTGAAATAACTAAGGATGAGGAGGAAAGAGAAGTTGAAAGTTACTCAACTCCATACTTGTATTTCTTTGATGAAGACTGATGAAAATGAGTGAATTTTTTAAAATGAATTGTAAGGTTCACTTGCCTTGCGAACTAGCCATCAAACTCAGATCCTCTCAATTTCATATTTGTTCTCGTTTCTTGTGTTTGGCACGTAATTAAAATAAATGTTGTGATTGCAAGTCCCTTCGAATTCGAATCTAATCATAGTCTATTCCTAATAAAACTCACTAGTACATTATAGTATATACATGTGGGTGAAACTTGAAACTCTTAAAGTCTCAAGTTATAAGTTGTTTTTTTTTTTTTTTTTTTTTTTTTTTTTTTTTTTTTTTTTTAAATAAAAATAAAAATTACATAGTTAAAATAATTTTTTTACTAAGTTAATTCCAGTCATAGTCCTTCGACTATTGTGATTTTCTAAAATTAGTCATCGTCTTTTAATTTGGATGAAAAAGACCTTGACTATCAGATTTGTTCCAGCATTGGTCCTTCCGTTAACCATCCGTTTGTTAGGCGTTAGTGTAAGGGCTAAAATGGCCATTTCCTTAGCTAGGTCTCTATAGACACTCTTTCCCTTACATTGATGATCCAGAAATTCGATTGGTAGCGTCGCCGTTCAAAGGCGCTGACCGTGGCTTATCACATGGCACAGAGAACACATAGGGCTTGTCCTTGCACCAAATGATCAATATTGTGCGGTCCACGGTGCGCCCCGTTTGATGTTTCCTCGTGATCCGTTGCACCCCGTTGTATCCCGTTTGATGTTAATGAGTCTCGTATGATGTTTTGAGTACCGTTCTAGGAATTTGTGTGTAGTGTGTGTCGTCCGTTAATGTGCCTTGATTATTATTGTTGATTAAATGTTGATTGATGGAATTATGATGAGTGTTATGATCAATGCGCAATGATTGATGTGACTGATGAGAATGAGATTGTGATCGGTGGAAATGAATTGTTGGCGGAAAGCACAACAAGTGCTCGGTTATTGTGTTAAAGGCACAGACCACCCCTTAGACTTGCTGGCTAAAGGCTTGGGTCAGGGTATAAGCGCCGCGGTGCCATGTCAGAGCTATATGCGCTGACCCCTTGGTAGTGGTGCTAGAGGCACGGATCATGCGAATGGCACTTCGGTGCTACCATGTTGGTGGACTTGTTGGTGGTTTCGGTGTGGGGCATGTAGTTTCTCCGGAGGAATAAGGGAGGCAATATAAGGGTGGCCTGGAGGTACAGGTTGGAACTGATATAAGGATGGAGAGGAGTAAATGTTGGAACTTGGTATAAGGTTGGAAGATGGATTGTGTGCTTTGATGATTACTTGCTAATTGATTGTCATTGGATCCCATTGTTGCCTTTAATTGCTATTTATGAGCTTACTTGTCTATTCTGCCTTGTCTTGTGTTCATTAGGATGCATGCTAGTCTTTATGATTGTTCTATAGTGTCAAGTCTGTTGTTGTGTCTTGAGTCTTGATCTTGGTTTAAAGCTAGAGTTACTTAGGTTATATATGTATTCCGGTTTCAAAATGATTTTATTATATCTATCTATATTGTACTTAACGCGTGGGAGTGAGTTACCAGCATTATTCGCGGACAGTTGTTACACCGTATGTTTTTCAGGTACAGATCAGTAGCTTCAGAGTGCGCTAGATGGACACGAGAACCTAGCTCTGATAGTTTAGTATTAGTTAGATGGCCTGTGAGTCTTGGATTGTATTAGGGATATTAATTACAGTTTATGCTTGTTTAGCCTGTGCATCTAGGTTCTCAAACCTGGATGTGGCATAACACCCTGATACTTATGTTGTTAGTTCCGCTTTGTTTGTGATGAATAATGATAGATTTGCCTTTATTTCATAGGCTTTAAATGTTTTAAAAATTAGGGGTGTTACAGTTGGAAAACAAAGGGATGAAAAACAAAGAGATACAAGATGATTAATATAGATGATTAATATCTTTGAAACATCTCAATGATATGAGAAACAGTATTTTGTTTCTTTGTTTTCCACGAGATTGGAGAATGGCCAAAAAATACCAACCAACCAGTAAGAGATCGCTGAGTAGTAGGTCATGTGGCCCAATCCGAATCACAAAATTCCTGTAGCATTAGATCAATGTCTGCTCGTAGGAGAATCCCTTGACCCGGGGTACCTTTCAAATAACGGACAACTCTTAGAGCTGCCTCCTAGTGCTCATCATGCGGTTCCTGCATGAATGGAGACAAACACATGAACAGAGAATGCGAGATCCAGTCGGGTTACGGCCAAGTAGATAAGTCTTCCAACAAGACGTCGATATGCTGCAGGATTATAGAAAATTGGGCCACTAGCTAGGCTGAGTTTGTGGTTTTTCTCAATAGGAACACTAACCGGCTTGACCCCTAACAATCATGTTTTAGAAATAATATCAAGAGTATATTTTCTTTGACACAAAAATAGCCCAGAAGCGCTACGAGCAACTTCAATACCAAGAAAGTACTTTAGAGAGCCGAGATCTTTCATATGAAAACAATCACTAAGATAAGCCCTAAACGTCGTTAGAGCATCAGAATCATTCCTAGAAATGATGAGATCATCGACATAAACAAGTACATTTATATGAATATTCCACCCCGAGTGAAGGTGAATAAGGAGAAGTCAGAATAGGATTGTAAGAAACCATATCCTTTCAAGGCCGTAACAAGTTTTGCAAATCAGCACCTCGGTGCCTGCTTTAATCCATACAAGGACTTGCGCAATCGACACACTAATTTAGGATCGGATGCCTCAAAGCCAGGGGGAAGCTTCATATACACCTCTTCATCGAGATCATCGTGCAGAAAAACATTGTGCACATCCATCTGATGTAGTTTCCAATTTTTAGAGGCTGCTTTGGCAAGAAGCGCACAAAAAGTAGTCATTTTGGCAACAGGAGCAAAAGTTTCAGTGTAATTGATACCTTCTTCCTGATGATTACCGAGATCCACTAATCTTGATTTGAGTCTTTCAATCGACCCATTTGAGTTATATTTGATTTGATACACTCAGTGACTTCCAAGAGCCTTTTTCCCAGGTGAGAGATGTTCAAAAGTCCAAGTTTGATTGTCTTCTAGGGCCCGAATTTCATTTTTCATAGGTTCTTTCCAGCCGCTATGTGTCATCGCCTCCTTAAAAGATTTTGGTTCTTTTTTAGAAAGAATTGCTTCCAGAAAAGTTCTGTATGGCAGAGAAAAATTGTCACAATTTATGTAATGTGCTAAAGGATAAGGAGTACTTGAGGGAGACTGTGGAGACGGTGTGACGGAGGATGAACTTTTAACAATAGAAGAATTAATAACATAGTCGCGCAACCACACTGAAGGAACTTTATTTCTCATACCCGACCCATTTGAACATTCTGATCTTGGTTAATCGGAACAAGATTACTAGTGTGTTGTTCAAGTTGTGAGCTGAACTCGGGTCCGGAGTCTGACTCTGGTTGAGAGGAGTGGCTCGGGAGTAAAGCTTAGCTCAGGTTGAGGGTTTAGCTCGTTTGTGGAGCTGGTCTCCGCCTCATCAATGATTGCAGAAAAATCTTCGTGAGCAAATTCTTCATGAAGAATGGTAGTCATATCCGCGAGGGGAAAGGGAAAAACATCCTCAAAAAATTTCACATCACGGGAAACAAAAAATTCTTTGGTTTCAAGATCATACAGCTTCCAACCCTTTTTTCCCAAACGGATATCCCACAAAGATGCACTCCCGACTCTTACTAGCAAATTTATCGCCTTTTGCCTTAGCACAAATTGTGTTGTAAGATGGAGGACTACCACAAAGAATTTCATAGGAACTTTTGTTATCAAGCAATGATGTTGGTGTCTGATTGATCAGATGTGCAGCCGCAAGAACACATTCTCCTCAAAAATAAATTGGCAAACTGGCTTGGAATCGCAAAACTCTCGCTACATTGAGAATATGTTTATGTTTCCGCCCAACCCTACCATTTTGTTGAAGAGTTCCCACGCAAGAAGTTTGAAATATAATTCCAGTGGCAGAAAAAAGAAATCATGCAAGCAATTGAATTCAGTACCGTTGTCACCCTGAACGACTTTGATTGATTGAGAGAATTGTCAATCAATCATAGCCACAAAAGACAAAAATATTTTGAGAACCTCAGTTTTATCAACCAACAAATAAATCCAAACTACTCGTGAATAATCATCTATTATAGTCAAGAAATAACGTGCACCACAAGAGGATTGATGTTTGTAAGACTCCACAAATCACAATGTATTTTCTCAAATATATGAGATGCTCTATTATTACTAGAAACTTTTCTCTAGGTTGCTTAGCACGAAAGCAAACCTCACAAGCTTTATTAAAACTTCCCACAGTGCCAACCGAAGGAAGTAGCTTTACCACTTTTCAGATGGATGACCCATTCGCTGATGCCAAAGATTAATTGAAGTTGTCACACCATTTACTGTAAGATAGATGGAGGACCAAATCGTGTCAAAATTGTAAAGTTAAGGACTTAATTGGTTGAAATTGAAAGTCGAGGACCAATTTGTGAATTTAGCTATAGTCGAGGGACCATTTTAGGTATTTACTCTATAAAGAACATGATTAAGAATAATTTTATTTGTTAATCGACCGAGCCTTCTTGAGTTGTAACCACTGTTTGTCTGTTGGGTAAACCAACAGGGCAGTGAAATATATCTTTTGTATCAATCATTCGAGTGGATTCACCAGTAACGTGAAGAGAGGCCCCTGTGTCAATTATCCACAACCATGTATCAAACTTACCATTCAATTATTCATCAAAAACCTTTGTACTACTAACTAGCCTGTTAATGCCTTCCATTGTTCCGGTGAAAACAAATGAGATGAGGGAACTCCACAGCTATCAGTGGGCTTTTTGGTTAAAGTGGCATTTGTTGGGTAATATGGTTGAAAAATCCCAAAATAATAATTCTACAGAAAAATTATTATTATTATAAGGGAAAACAGAAAAACTGGGAAGGAAAAGAGGTGGAAAAAACTGGGTAAGGGTTAGCACGAGTTCGAACGTAATGTTCTTTTCCTTAAAACCTTATTTGCAACCTCCCACAAGTGCTGGGAGCGTTGTAGCCTAGGTTTCCCAGGATAAAACGTGCTACGATTCCTTGTTTAAGTACCTAAAC